AGCCATAAATGCCGTCGATGCCATAGTCTTTATGAAGTTTCAATCGACAAGCCAGTGCAAATTAAGGAAACGCCGCGGACGGAGCGGCAAATTAATATTGTCTTGACCGTTTCCCTGCAATCGTGTGAGCAGAGACACGTTCTCTTCACATAGGTTTCGTATCTTGCCGACTGGCTTGGAGTTCCGCCAAATCGTTAGAATATTCAGCAAGTCGCCAGTATTTCTTTATTACTGCAGTAAGGGCCGATGGAGGAGGGGGAAGGGAGCACTGCGCGCGCGAAACGGTGAAAATCAACAAGCAAAAACCTTTTTCTCCAGCCAAATATGGCCCTCCTCTGCCAAGAACCAGTTCTTATACCTTCACTGAATAGGAGAATCCCTTACGCACGAGATGCCCCGCAATGCAAAGCTACGATACTGGAAGATCGTCTAGGAAAACGGCGCATTTTTCACGTCTGCAAAGACGGAACCAAATCTGATATGGACAAGAAAGAGGAATGACACGCGAGCTAAAAGTGTCACAAAAGCGCGTGACATAATTTACCAAACAACTTTGAAAAACCCATGAGGGATCAGATCGAAAGCAGACTTCAAAGCAAGAAAGAAGGCTGGAGAGCTTGACTATACCTATAACGGCAGTTCAGTTCCTCATTCACCCTTACTTGTCGATTTTCACCACTATACGGTAGTATTTCGTCCCTTTCGCACTCAAAAGTTTAGCTTTGAGTAAGTGGTTGTGACTTTTACAGTGAGTCAAAATTAGACATGATTTCTTGGGGCCTCACTAGAAAAACAAGGATTATCTAGATTAATCCATGAGGCCTAACATTTACGAGTAATCTAAGCAGATCTCCACTGAGTCAGCTTACAAAGAGAGATTCGCAACAACTGCCCGCCCCAGAAATCGTGCCCATCACCTTAAAGGAAAACGCTACGGAAAATATTATCACAAGAATGCTGAGTTATGGGCAAAAGTCGTGCCCCAGGCGGGAGTCGAACCCGCACCTCACGCTTTCCGGGCGAGTGCGCTATCCGTTACGCCACCAGGCCGCTTTTACCCTCTCAGCTTAACGGCTTTTATGCCGTAGCCTTACAGCACTCACACGTTTAACTTGGTGAGCCGGTCAGCCGTAATCGTTAGATATCGGCAATGAACCGCGAGGCCGAAGGCTTTAGTTTTTTTTTACAATCGTTTATTGAAAGCTGTTTTGTTATGATAACTGTTGTCGCCGCAGTTCGCGTTCGAATGTTATCACAAGAATGCTGACGTTAAACATGGCGTTAAACAGCAGTTATCATAACAAAACAGCTTCAAAAACTACGCAAAATAATTCTCACTGCCCTTGCTAACCTTTTAATCTTATAGCATCGGGGAGAATGTAGAACCATGTGCGCGGTCCACGAACACCATTGGCGAAACCGCCGTGAGTGAATTGTGGACTGCGTATGGAACCGACATGAGCACGTCCCGTTTTCTTCTGTGGCCACGGTTTCCGTCCTGAATAACTGAGATACTCAATCGTGACGCTCAAGAGCCACTAAAGTAGAAACAAACCTCCGCCAGGCATTTCAGCACGGCTGAGCTGTTTCGTCAGTTGCACATTGCGGTATACTGACTGCCAGGTGATATTCCTTCAAATAGATATATTAGAATTTACGATAACTTTTCAAATTTGTTACCAGCATCTTAAAAAAACTCGAATAGTGACCTACCTGTGCAACAAATCCAGTCGTGGAGGAACTCGAAATATATCCGGGTGGAGATTAATAAGGTCTACTTTACGTTCTTCAATTGAATCGAACGACGACACCCAAGCCTTGATTGAAGTCACATTATGGACAGAACAACAAAAATCGAAGAATGTACCAGTGCTATACGGTCGGGCATTTTCGTCCAGAAGATCTAAACCACCGAACACCACTGCACGTTTTTGGCACTACTCTGCATAGGAGGGGGGGGGGGGGAAACATATTCCTAGTTCGCTTGTTTCTATAGTTAGGACCTGTTAAATTACGTGTATCATCCTGACGAATCCTCTAAACTCTTGTCAAATGTGAACAAGCCTCGGTGTATTGCATAACTTTACAGGATTTGCAGGTTCCCATAGGAGGGCCCGCACCAAGTCGAACTGCGCTGTATTTTACTTCCCGTCATCAACGGTTGGAAAAGCCCGTTGATAAAAGCTTAGAGGTAGAGGAGCACCGGTTGGGTCCACGGTTCACCAGCCACCAGAGCTCCTTCCCTCTGGTTCAGGCGTGAACCGTCACCCCCCCCCCCTGCTCTCGATTCATCGCTTCTCACTGCTCTTAAAGCCATACAAAACAAAACATGGACGAAATATGATGCCAGGAAGCTCAAGCTCCCAAAAACTTGGGCGAAATTGTGACTACCGCAAGCCAACGAACTATTACACCACATGCCCGTTGAATTACACTGGCACCTCAATAACTGACTCACCTGCGGGATCTCCACAAAAGGACTGTTTGGAAGTTTCGGTAGCGGTCTTTGTGTGGCCACAGGAGAGTTTGCTTCTGAACGGGCTGAGGTATCAGCAGCAGCAGTGGAGAAACTAACCACACATCTGATGGGAGACGTTAAGGCAACCGAAGGCAGAATACGACCCAGCATCACTAAAAAATAATTATTGATCAATCGTCAAAGTATACAATCTTATTCGCTGCTGACGCGGGGACATGCAAGAGGGGGAGGGGGGCTTTATTTGGCGCGACGTCAACCCGTTCTCCGCCAACAAGCGAACGCAATCGGTGAAAAACAAGTTACCTTGCTGAAACCCACTCCCCTCCACCTCTGGTACGCCCCGGCATTCGCAGCAAA